AGGCTGAACTGCATCATATTGTCTCGGATGCTGCTCCATTGGACTACCTCTTCCCCCTTTTTGTCTGACCCCTTGCTCCTTAAAGCCCCGCACGCGCTAGCTCTCTCGCTCTGAGAATAAAAGCCCTATAATTTCAAAACTTAAGATGCACTCCATCAGAAGGCACGCGCGCTCGGGCTTCCTAAGTGGCTTTCATAGCAGACAATACACGAGTAATGTGCAACAAGCTCGGGGAAAGGTCGTGGTGCAGTTGTGTAGGTTGTTGGTGTAGACAAATAAAATGGCAAAGTGGATCATTTGCACCACGGATGATCTTTTCTTACTTGCTGTCTGCACATTTCGACGCGTTACTATTCCTCCCGTTTTAATGCATTGTACAAGGATTATTATTTATCTTTGCTGCGTTTTATGAACAGCCCCGTATTATGTAGGACCAAAATTGAAGTGAGCTGCCATAGTAATATATTCTTTTACATGACGTTTTAAGTGCATCACCTAATGGAAGCCACTTAACACTCTTTTTAGAAATTAAAATAAATTTTTTCAATGTTTTCATCAACAGTTGACCAACCATCCCCATCATTATTATTATGCCCTTACAAATTTCTCTACCGAGATTCCGACGAGGTTGCGGTATTTCCATGATCATAATGATGATGACGATAGTGTATGGTCGAGGAGAACAATAACGTACAAAAGAAGCGATGATGATAGCTCTTACATTTCATCATGCATCAAAGTACATCAAAAAAGAAAAATAGATAGAAGGACAAAAATGGGGGGAAAAGAGTAGATAACGTGTGATGCAATCCCACAGTTTTTTTACCTCTTCAAATGGCTGAGACCCTCTCAATGGGGTGTTATTCATGGAATCCTCATTTTTAGTGATCCTTGCGCATAAAATTCGTCGTAACAAAGTCACTCTGGATTCGCTGATAAAATAATCGCTATTACGTGGCTAATTTTCCGTAGTTCTAATATAAACGCCAATTTCTAAAAAGTGTCGAGTTATTTTCGATCTCAAATATTATTTGTAATTGTTGTCAATTACTAACTTTTTTTTTCATGTTGTTCAACAACACCAGCCAAAAACCTCAACATATTTTTTTTTTATTCTAGTATTCATTTATTCCTCATCTGAAAAGCAATGTTTCGTCCTTCAATCGTCTTTTCCCACGAAAGTGTGTTGAAAATTCATGACTGCCAACCTTTGCTTCTTTTTTTTAAACTAAATTCTCACCGCCCGATCAAGTGTAGCTGAGGCGCATCGCGCCTTGACTGTGCATTAAAACAGCTGAGTAATTAACTACCGGCAATCTTCTCTTCCTCCTTACCTCCTTCATTTTTCCTCGTGGCAACGAAAGAATTGCCTGCGGCGGGATGAGCCTCTATTCTTTCTTTTCTCCTTGACTTCGATTATCCTGTTCTTTCCTTTTCGATGGATTCACGACTCGTCTTCTTATTACTGCAAGTTTTTATGAAATTTTTTCCACAATTTCATTCTATACTGTGGTCAAGCTTTTTGTGAGACTATGGGCTGAGGGGTTTTTTGATTATTATTTATTGTTAAAAATTTAAAAGAAATAACAGAAATTCCACCAAAAAAAATTAATAATCATCCTGTAAGAAATTTGATACTGCTACACATGTATAGTGCCATGTATTGACTTCTTTATTGCAGCACCTTATCTTACTGCATATTTTTAATAAATTTCGGCAATATATTAATTCGGTAAAATATATTACTTTGAAAACATTGCCAAGTGAAGTGAAAATTTTTCAAAGTATATTAAATTATACGTCGAGTAAAAAAAAGTTCCTCAAATAAAAAATTAGGGTAACATATCAGAATTAAGAAGATTCGTGTTACAAAGTAATCTGATCTTACATTAGATATCATATCACGTATACATGCGGGATATCAGGGTAAATAATGTCCTAGATTACATGCTGTACCGCATTACACTGCTCCAGAATGAAAGTGTTGAATCATTTTTGAAAACGGGTGTGGCGTAAAATTCCGATAAACACCTTGCCTTTCAGTTTTTTCTTGGAAAAAAAAATGTACAAAAATTAGATATTTTTCAGCCTATTTCGTATGTTCAAGTGACGTAGAAGCAGTAAAGAGTTTTAAAAAAACTGTAATATCATTTTTATAAAATAGACACTCCGTACGAAAGCCATATGGTGAGCAAAGCGATTCCCTTGAAAATTCAATGAGTGTATTAAAAAAATTCTAGAGCACGATTAGTTCGAAAAGGTGTTGAAGCACGAGAATGGCAGCAGAACTGTTGGAAAGTCGAGTATTTACAGTTTTGATATTTTTGCTGCGTCACCGACTCGATGCCCTTTTTTCTTTGTTCTGAACGATTAATGATGTAGAAGGTCTATCTTAAACACACATGTTTATGCATACGGTGTCAATGTCTTGATGATATGCACTACTTGCTACATCAAATACATACTTTGTTGCACCTTTGTAACCGGCAAACTTAATATACGAGAAATGGCAATTGTTCATAATTTTCTCATCATTTGGTGACTGATGTATAAATAAAATCATCAGATAAGGACGTCGTATCGTACAAACAACGTAAATCATAGTAGTTTCGCTTGCCTCGTTTCTATTTTCTTAACTCTTCTAACACTTGCCCGAACGAGCAGATGCAGAAAGTAAAGTTTGCACATATGCCTGCCCATACATCACCCAAAGTGAAAGAGCCACACACGTGCTCGCCTCGCACCTTAATTGCCAATTAGGCAGGGAACGTGCAATGGAACTTTGTGGTGTCAAAATTTGCGAGGACGTCGCCGAGCGAAAGCTTGCAATGTACGTGGGTTATGCAAGTGAACGTGTGTATTGTGAAGCTTCCAAAAGCTGTCAGGCGCCACTCCTTACTTTATTTTACTGAGTGTACAAATACGTTAACAAGGTGTCGTTACATGAGTTACAAGCAACACTTTGGCGTTGTTAGAGCAGTACAATGTTTAGCTTGAGTGGCTCAAACAATAATGCAATACGTATATAGCCAACAAAATTGTTTGAATCACTTTTTTCTCCACAGCCCCACATGAATTTTCTTTCAAAGTCTTTCGGGAATACTTTGTCCAATTTCAGAAGTCATCAAATGACTTTTGAAGTCTCTTAAGATCATTAAAAGAGTTTGAAAGACCTTTGAAGTCATTTAATAACTTTGAAAAACTTGCCAAGTCATTCAATAACTTTTTATACTCCAGAAGCATTTATTATGAGTTTTGATGACTTCAAGTCATTCAACGATTATCTGTGCATTCATTATATCATCTGCAAATAAACTTTTTACGACAAGTTTGATAAAAAAAATTTTGTTTAAAACACTTTTTCAAATCACAAACATTTTTTAATCTAGGCTACTTAAAAAAAATTTTAATTTATCTTATAGTTGGAAGTGGAGTGATGAAAAAGTGGTACATGCACAAGATTTGTGATTTCAAAGATTAATAGACTTGAGATTTTGTATTGAGACTAACAAAACGGGAATAAAATTGTACAGTATATTGTGAAATTGCGTATCCTCCGCTCAACCGGCTGTTATTAAAATAAATTGACGTATTACCACGGAATAATACATTAATCCACTCAAATAAAAAGAACATCACTAAAACAATACAACGCTCTCAGGATGGGGTCCAAAAAAAGCACAACCCCAACGCACTCATCTTCCTGAATGAGCTGGCATTATGTGCACTCGGAAACGTCAACTCTCATACGTAGAGTCTCTCGCCGAGCGTGTCAAGCCAAGCAGAGTAAGTGCGCACGTCTGCTTTCATCATTAAAAGCAACGCGCACACACGTACAACATACATACTTTCTCTATGTCTCTGCATGTCGTCGAATTTGTCAGCTGTGCAGAACTCGAGGCGTCCCTTACATGCCCACGTTCACCCCATTGGGACACATATACGTGTAGGGTAGTGTCACGTGAAAGAGAGGCTTTCGAATGATTGTCTTCCTCTCACGAGGCATTGTTGAACATGTGCGTGTAAGTGCGTGTGTGTATATGCTTTCCTCTCTTGTGAATAAACTTTACTCTTCGTCCAGGATGATATCACTAGGGAGGGAAAGGGAGCGTAAGTGTGCGACCCGTCGATACGGAAAGACAAAAGCTTCGGGCTTCTCCTTCCGTCTCTGTCTCTTTACCCGTGCTTGAGTGCACTAACGTCAGCGTTGAAGCATACATATATAACTTTCATTTGAACTAAGTCAGAGGAAGAGTCTGTGTGGGCTGCTGTGTGCCATAGTAACACCTAATAATTAAGTAGTTCGAATTGGAATAATTGACGTGAGCCATTCGTATGATGGAATTGGACTATCGATATTTGGACGTTGTTCGAATGAACTCCAGCCAAAAGTACAAAAGTGAGCAAAGAGTTGTTCATTGTGACTATTTTCAAATTTTTTATTTAAATATTACTAAAAAATCTCTATATTACTTTCACTGCACCAACCAATTACAATTGTAATATTTTGCCTTCAGTCAATGTGATTTATTTTTAAAAATTGGATTCAAATACTTTTTTGAAAAAATTATTGATATGTTAATCATACAGTATTGATACTTGATAGCTCTATTAACTGGGAAGTTCAATCTTCATTTTTCAATGTGAGCTTAGAAAAAGAGAAGTGAGGTAACTGTTTATCTCACAATTTCAATATAAATTATTAAAATGATGCCTAAATAAATTATTAACAACATAATTTCCTTATATTAGCACATTGTAAATGTCTGACATTCATATATACAAATTATCACTTATCATGTCTTAAATTATTAAGCTTATAGATTAAATGTAATTTTGATTGCTATTGGTACTATTACACAACGTAACATTTTTTACTTTCCATATTTTTAAAGCACGATAGCTGTTTATAGGAATAATATATTCTTACAAATAAAAATAAGTGTAATCACATCAAAAAATACTATTTTTAGTGTACAAATAATTTTAGTACAATTGAATGAAATTTTCATATATTATATTATTAAGTGTGTACAATCAATATACTTATTTACATATGAAACAACAACAAACCATAGTTTATTTAAACATTAGTTTAGTAATTACTGATAAAATTATTTATTGTTTATGCATTCGTGGGCCGAAAATTCGTCAATAAGTTATTTTTGGAAAAGTATCAAGTAATGTTACAAGTATGAAAAAGTATAAAAAATGTTAGAAAATTTGACAAAATCGTAGCAAGTTGTTACACAAGAATCTTACTCGTGATATAAAATATGGCTTTTAATTAATATGCCAGCAGGTCGGTATTCCGGGAATCTCGCAAAAGTAGGATCGCACAGCGTTGCAAGGAATCCCGAGCAATTTGCCGTCCTCAAACAGTACGGCGCAGTTGGCCAGCAAAATTTTCGGCGGTCCGACGCTCCATCGATTATAGCCCGTTTCAATGAGGGGATCGCCAAATACAGTTACCCATTCATCTTCCTTAAATTGATTATGGATGCCGATGTAAGCGCTAAACTGATAATTTTCAAGCAGCAGCGTTTTCAGCGCCTGCGAGGGAGAGACAACCCAAAAAACAAAAAACAAAAAAAAAACAGGGAGAAAATTTTTATAATTGAGCTTGGTATCCAGTTTAATTTGGGGTAGGATCAAAAATAAAAAAAAATAAAAATGTTGCCATAAATCATGCGGGCTTCTTGATAATCGCGCGTTAACTGGCAGGATTCTGCACTTTTTAACAATGTAATTATACTAATTAGTGACTAAATGTATTTTGTATAAATTTCTTTAAAAAAAAATATATATATTTTACCACACTTTTTTAAATTAATTGGGGTGCAAAAAATTGTTTGAAACGACGAAAACACTATACCTCAGCTTCGTTTTCCGAGTTAATAATAGCGAGATGAGCTTCGTCTCCACGACAAGACTTTCTCGCTTCGTTCCAAGTGACATTGTTCAAGTAAAGCTTGTACCACCCGGTGCCGTTAATGCAAGTGTATCCACGTTTGGCGAAATCCTCGGGATTCCTGCTCTTGAAACCATACCTCGTGGCGTTATCTCGTATATTCGAAATCAGCTTGTCGTTGATTGACCCTATACTTTTTAGTGAAGAAGATATTTTTTCTAACTCTGTCAACACATTTTGCAATCCATTGGCCTCTGAACTGTGACCTACACTCATAGAAAAAGTTTGAGTCGGTGTAATCACAAAAATGACCACTAAAAGACATATATCTGTAACCGCACCACTATACTTAAAAACCATATTTAATTCCAATTACTATCGACAAGTTATCTTTAACGCGTTACTCGTATTCAACTAAAATGTATCATTAGAGCAGCGTCATTATATTACACGAGAAATCGTCTTGTCATTGTTAACTGACCTCCATCAGCTAATCAGTTATCATGTTACCACAATCATTGTATTTACGTCACTTTGATGAGCTAATGAAATTGGCTAGTTACGTAATTCCACATGATTTCAATACACGTTTTCATTGTGTGTACTGTAGTATGAGCATTCAATGTTAACAACAATTATAATCCAGCAACGATTAATTATTGCTGATATTTTTCTACCACTATTGTTTATGCTCATTAAAATTTGGACATGTGATGTCAATGATGAAAAGTGACTTGAATGAATATTTATTTCAAACAAAAGTTTAGTTAGAAAATTTTATCGCAGTTGGCAAATACAAAGAGTAAACACATTATTTTTGCCATCATCTGTCTTTCGTAATATTATAATCAAATTTCAATTATTTGTTTCAGGTAAGGGTTTACATGCGTATACTTCACGTCTCTTCAATAAGCGTAAGAATACATTATTTTTCAATCTGCTTAAAATGAAAATCATGCTACCAATAAATATCCGATAAGTAACTTTGTCTACAATGTCATCATAAGAATCAATGCACAGTGAAATTTGTAAGTGATATGCATTTAAAAAATGAGCCATCGACCGCTTCAGTGATCATTAGATTTACATAGGAAGGTTGTAACAGATCGAGCACAATATACATAAATATCGGCATGAATATAGTTTCACGTGCGAGCATCGATACTCGCACGCAAGAGCTACAAGCGCGAGGGACCGGACTTCCGGCTGCTGGGTACTATGAGAATAGCAAACACTATACTTGAATTCTTTATCGCACCACTTTCACTGTATCTATATATATATTCTCTCTTACCTTTCTATGATGTGCTAACTCAATATGTGGCACAACCTCGAAGGCTACTGATAATTTTTACTTTGATTTCATAAACAAGTAATAAGTAATAACACCTATTCGTAAAAATGAGAGTTTCACGAAATTTAATATTTTTCTCGATCTTTACTTGCATTGTTTTGTATTTCAGTTGATTCTTTCCCACTTGATTTTGTAAGCTCTTTTCTATTAATTTATACAATCGTTATATTTCTACATTTTAAGTAAAATTTTTCTATCCAAACAATTTTAATTTCACAAACTCTTCACTTAATTAGCTTGATTTAAAATTTGATTTGTATTTTCCATAATCTGTAAGCAAAAACTTCTTCTTCCTCATCATTGTTTTCGTGAAACATTTGGTAGCTAATATTTTTATCACGTGGTATCTTCAATTCTCAAGTATAAGATTAAACTCAAGATACTTTTTGTATCTATAATTATTTGTGTATGGATGTGTTAATATAGTATAGTTATAACTATACATTTGTATGTATGTATACATATAGTAGTAAAAATAAACTAACACAAAAAGGCATTTTATTAATGCACAACAACGCAGTAAGTCAACATTTGAGTGGAACATCCTGGCACACTAAAAAACAGAGCACCCATTAGTCGATAAAAAGATCGTAGGACGGGTTCGATCGTCATACCGAAAAATCATCGCCTGATGAAAATCAAAAGAAAAATCCTCCCTGTCATTTATAGCATACATACATATACAAGCTGCAGGCTTCTCGTTATACTCCACAGTGAAGGAAAGCGTATCGCCCGTGTCCCGAACATCTGCCTCTCTGACGCAAAGACGCGCACAGCTAATCATTTCGGTCACCACCGGAAGCTTGCCATCTTTTTTTTGGCTTTCCGTGCAAACTCTCGCGCAACATGACGTTACTACGGACAAACGATTCGAAAAATGCCTCTCGTCATACATGCGTTATATATGACGGTCGTGAGCTGTTCTTTTTTTCCTCTGTTTCCTCTTCTATCGTCTCTTTTTGCGCTGTACTATCGTGCGAGCATGCTATGCTCGTTAATTAATTGATGTCGATTGATCGAGTTCAACAAAACGACAGCCCGGCTCGGATGTTACTGTGACATGACATAATAATATATTTATGAGCTTACAGTTTGTCAATGGGGCTCGATTTGTGACCAAAGTCGTTTCTACACTTATCGCTCCTGTTGGTGCACTTATAACAACAACTTTACTGCACGTGATGTAATTATAATACGTTTATTGTAAACAAAGTGCGAGCATCCTATAATTATTTTAGCATGTGTGACCAAACGACCCTTCTCTCAGCGTAGTATGTCATCTCATGATGCACTTTCAAGTGACAATCAACACCGTTTGCCTCACCCTGCACTATATGACGAAGGTATAATAATAACCTTTTGATGCTTGTCGTAGCCTCTTGGTCATCCAACTGGTCGTTAAACTTGATGTAGAGGACATAATGTATATTTACCACTATGATGACAAAGGCACCAGTGATGTTGGTATGGGCAACAAAGGCCCTTAACCGAAGTGTAATATGGACATTGTTACACGATAATGGAATCAAGATACTCAGTATATAAACTTAACGTTTACACTTTGTGAGCCGCTCAGTAGCCATGTACTAGGGGCTCTTAGATATTTAATCTAGCGATGGATCAACTACAATTTGAATTTAAATTTCACTTAAATCATGTTTGTCTGGTTGATTTTAATTCGTCTCCTGGGAGGAAATAAGACTTCTACGAAAGGATTGTGTTGGTCGAAAAAACGACAAGCTTACTATTGCACAACAGTTTTTTCTCCTTGTTTCTTTGAAGCAAAGGTTTATGCTTTTAGTTTTTCGTGCCTAGTATTTACACAACGTTAGTATACCTGTCATAACTAAAGATCTATCGGGGTGACTTGTATCATCACTACTTAACCACGTCATCACTGTGAGATAAGATCCACGAGACTCTTGGTTCTTTTTAAATTGTGCTTCCCATCAAATATCTTCTCAAGGTACTCAGCAATTTTTCGTCATCCCCTCACAGAAGCCGCAACTCGATCACACACTGTAGAGACGAAAAAAAAACCCTCGCCATTTCCCATCACATTATCTCGACACCAATCTTCCGCGCTCCCATCTCGCGTGCATCGTTTCACCCTTCATCTACCTCCCTATCAGCCTATCAATCTATAACGGCCCATTTATCTATGCACGTACGCCCCTTATTGTCTCTCGCGCACTTTCTACCAGCATTAGCAAGATCTCGATTAAGCGAGCGATGCGACACCCTAAGCCATACGCGCTCTCGTGTCATCAGCTCGAACACGTACACAGTAGCCCTTTACCAAACTCTCTTGCCCATCATACACCATGTCCCGTAATTTTCAGTGCATCAGCCCTCCATCGTTGCTACGTCGACGTGTAAAGTTCGCATCGTCACCGTTAGAACGTGACTATATGGCACGGTTTTACCGGCAAGGCGGTGAAATTTTTCAATCACAGGTAAGAAAAATGGGTTTAATGGTATTTCTTTGCAAAAGTGACGAAATAAGGAAAGATGTGTGGTAACATTTGGATTTTTGCGAAAAAAAAACATCGCTTCTGCAACACAATGCCATGATTTATGAGAGCCCGGGCGCATCTCATTAGGATCGCCTTTCGAACGATCATCGATTTCTAATTAGTGAAGCGTGGAAGAAAAAGTGGGGAAATTTATGTGCGGGTGGACGATACAGTCTTAATGACGCAACCGCTTCGATTCATTAATTCCATCGGCCTGGATAATGCAACGTTATGAAAATTATTATTCATGATGCACCACTATCTCGTTTCACTGTTATCCAATATCGAGATTTTTTTTTTTTTCGTATAAAAAGTAAAAATCTGGATCAAAAATACGTCCTTACGCGAAACACAACACGTGTACTCGCGTCCCCGATATTTATACTCACGTTCCCGCTGCACTCGTCAGCAAACATGTCCCTGCGATTTCATTTCCGTCCTTATACTGCTACGCTATACAGCAGCGAAGATCGAGGAGGAAAAGCCGTGGCATCTCTCTTTGCTTTTCCTCCTGTTTTCTTTCTTTCCATTTCGACAGTGCACCGTCTACTGCGAGTCATGAAAGTTTACTGACCATTTGGACAGTCCGAGATCACGAGGAGCATCGCGACGCAAAAGAAAAAAAAATAGACGGAGTGGGTGGAAGGAAAAAGAGAACGAGAGGAAGAAAAGCTTTCAGGACAGACATTTTACCTCGTATAACGTATTTACGAGTGCCAGAGAGATATTGAGACAAGAGAAGCGAGTATATAGTGGCAGGATTTTTCTTTTCGCGAACCTGGACTCAGGGGTGATTGTCCTGTTGCTCCACCCAAAAAAAGTTCGATAGTGGTGTTTTTTTTTTTTTTTGTTTTCTTTCATTAGGAAAGTTGAAAAATAATTTGGAAGAAAAACTTTTCGAAGCAGTAACTTTAATGAGTGTTTCGTTCGTTTAAATCTAACTAACGTGATTATTTTCAAAGTTTCCAGTTTATCCAATGGAAGGGTACGTTTTTATTGCATCGGCTGAAAAGGAATTTCATTTGACGTTACTCTACGTTCTGTTTCCATTTGAACCACGCCAAGTGACTAACCCATGTATCACTCGTCGAGCATTTTGGTACTTTCAATTAGCACTCTCGTTGTAAAATTATCGTTTCATTACCGGGAAATTAAATTTGTCGCCACTCAAAGTGGGAAAAGTACCAGTTAGTAAATACACGGTGATGTACAGTAAGGGACTGTAATCTCGTGTTTGAAATCCTGAAATAATTCAAACGGGCAACGCTAAAGACTATAAAGTTTTCGTTTAACGCAGGAGTGATTATAGTTTTTAATGCCAAAGCTGATTTTCTCCATCAATATGTATGTAATAATAGTTAAAAAATTCAAATCCCTTTAACGTTATCAAATTCAAAACTTGTTCTTGTTAGTCATTCTTTTCGCTTTGTTACACAAAATTAAAGGCACCGATGTCCAATAGGACAGACGTATATATCGAACGCTGACGAACATCCCATCAGTCTAAAACAACGAGAAAAA